TGCTGCTGTTTTGTATCACCGTACAGAGAGAGCACCACTCACTGCATCATCCAGCCCTGTAGTACCCGTGGCGAGGAGGGGGGAGGAATGAAGAGCACTTGCTCGCCTAGCTGGCCCTTCCACCATACGGACCACGAACCCCCCGGCTACCAGTTACGCCATATCGTGCAGACCTCAGCCCGGGGGGTCACCAGTAACGCTAAGATGCCCATCAATCACCGCCGATCCCTCGCGAATTGGGATAAGGCGGGATATGCAGCAGCAGCCTGCGCGGATGGGAGCGCTAGCGACGGAGGATGAGGGGAGAGGGAAAGGAACTGACGGTCGGTCTCATGTCTCCCCAGCGTCTGTCTCTGCGCCTCTGCATCTCAGACCCCCCCGCCGCCGTCGCCGCCCCCCGGGCCCCAAAAGGGGGGGTGTAAGGTGAGGTCAGGGTAGGAGGGGTGCAGCACCTAGGGGGGGTGCCGAAAGGTCCCAGTCCCGCTAGTGACGGACCCTGTGTTTTGCCTGACGGGTTTGCGTTGCTCTGCTTGCTCACCTCACACCAAGCCTGCGCTACCGCACCCACGCAACCCCATCCTGCCCAACTTTTCCCTTCCTTACGTCTGTGTTCACCTCTTCTCCACGACAAGGCTTGCCGCTGCCGTGTGCCTGGCCTGCGCGACCCTTTCGCCCCTCTTATTTTCATTTATAAACCCAGGGCCATTCCTGCCATCTACCGTTTTCCGTCTCCCGTTTCATCAGCATCAGCTTACAATTACCAAACCAAGCCCGCACCGTCAAACCAACAACCACTCCTCTATCAATTTCCATTAAAGCTACAAACCAAAGCTCACATACAACTCTTAACTACACATTTTTCATATACAACTCCTCGGTCAATACAACTTGACCACCTCCACCAAACCAACACCAATTTATTCAAACGTCTCCATGAGCCCTTCCACCATGCCCGCCCGCCAGGACGCCTACTCCGTCTCCATCCCCATCTCTCCCCCTCCCCCGAGCGATCTGTCGACCTACATGCGCTCGATGCACCAACACACCAAGCGCCAGATGGAGGCCGCGAACCGTTCATCGTCGCGGAGATCGGGTGGCCGCACTTCCTACCCCGGCCATTCCAACGGTCACTCCAGCCCCGACTACACTTCATAATCGGGTCTTTTAATACGCATTATATAACAGTCAGCCTTCGAGGTCGACACTGGATGCTTGGCCCTGGCTGTCATATGACTCCAAAGCATCGGCTCCGACATTTCAGAAAGCGAATGCAGCGAATTGAAGCAACTGGCGCGAGGATAAAACACAGGTTTGAGGCGTACGATTTGCGACCGGTACAACTGTTACGGTGAACACCCGCAACGAAGCATTGGAATGGCGCGAAATATTTGTTTTTGATTGTTCATGTTTAATCATTCATAGCCAAGCCGAGATTTGGTTTTGGTTTTCGCAAGGCGTTGGGGAGAATACATGGGCAGGTCTATACTGTCTATGATTTTACGAATAAATGATACTTTCAATCGTTACCACCACCATTGGCACTGTCTTGCAACCGTGATTGTTATATGTGTAATCGCGAATATTCAACGCCATTTCTCTAGCCAGCAGGTATTGTCGGTGCCGTTGCTAATGTGGTTGGCATTATGAATGTTGTCGCCTGTCTACTTAGACCACACTAGCAGTATGGTCGGTAGTGTCATTGATTTTGCCTGTCTAACAATGCTGAATCTTAGTCGTCACCGTTTCACTACCTCACTTGTGACAATTAGTACCGAAAATCCAGACAGGAAAATTAGTCACAATCCTAGCCTTGCGACTAGTCATACGTCCATCTAACCAACATCACAACAAACTAATTTCCCTAGCCTCGATTTCGAAGCTCAGTACAATCCCCGTCACGATCGGCTTGTCCCCAAACTGCCACCCCCCTTGCCCCCATCACTGCGTCAGTCTCCCGAAAGCTCACATGCCACCAAAAAGCTTCACACACAAAAACAACCTTACAAGCTCACAAGCTCACAAGCTTAAACAAAAATGACTGCGCTACGCCAAGCTGAGCACGCAGCATGAAGAAGCAGGGCGCCTATTACCGTAAAGATCCACAGTACCTCAGTTCATGGACTAGGCGAATTAGAGTTCACCTGAGCACAGATGCATACCCAGTGTCGTCAGGGGAGGAAGAAGAGGATGGTGAGGCAGGGCACCTTGCATGGCATTCATGGAATGTCACCGAAGGCGAAGGGTGCAAGCGAACGAAGGTCGAGAAGTGACGTCTAATTTCTCCAAACTTGACGTGCAGAGTCTATTCAGCCCATCCCCCACCGACGAACGGGCCTCGACCGTCCCCTCGGTCCGCACACCATTGCCTAACAATCATTACGCTGGAGTCCAAATGCCATAGGTCGCCTCGTCTGTGCGACGCCTCTCTGTTCCGAAACGCCATGCCCCCCAACTTTAATATTCCCAGATAATCAAACACCAACCATCCATGTGTGCGCCGGCCGCGCGATGACGTGCAGAAGCCTCAGCCTCGCCTGCAACATGACGGCAGCCTTCCAAATTTTGCATCAGCCGTACCCTCGTCTCACTCACACCAGCGAGGGTTTCTTCTTGATGCCCAACGCCGCAGAGTAGTCCTTCTTCTTCTTGACCGTCCTCTTTGCAGGGGGTGGAGGCGGCGGGGGCATCGACGAGGTATCCTTAGCAACCGTCTCGCTCTTCGCCGTTGACGAGGACGCAGACGAACCCGCCACCGGCTCCTCCACAACATCGTCCTCAATAATTTCCTCCCCAAGGTCCGCAGCAGCGCGTTCCCTAGCAGCGGCGAACGCCCTTCTGGCAGCCTCGTCGTCCTCCCTCTCCAACCGCGCCTTCTCCTCGTCCTCGGGCCTGACGACGTAGTCCGCAAAGTCGACGCCGTCCTTCTCGGACCGCTGGATGCGCGCGTTGCGCTGGCGGATCTCGTCCAGCGCGTCGGCCGCGGCCATCTCCCTCCGCGCGTCCTCGTTCTTGGCCTCCAGGTCGGCCATCGCGTTGCGCTCCTCCTCGCCCGCGGCCTCGGCCTCTTCGCGCTCGAGTCTGTCCAGGCGCTCCTCGACGGATTCTTGTTCTTCCTCCTTGTTGCGCCAAGGCTCCATGTTCCGCACGGCGCCCTTGACCATCATGTAGCCTGCCGACTTGGGGTCGGTACGGAAAACGATCTCTGAGGAGCATCTGGTGCAACGGATCGAAAAGCGGTGTATTTGGATGCCAAGATAGCGTTCTTCCTGGTGCGTCTCTTTTCTGGCATTAAATTTACGACCTTTATAAATATATTCGCCGCAGGAGGTGCACTTCATCGAGTAGGGCGCCATGATTCTGACGGTCTGGCACTTGGGGCCCGTCGACTTGGGGCCACGCTTGCGGGTGATGTCCGCCGGGTTGAAATCCGGGGGGTAGTACTTCTGGAGGACTTTTCGCTCGGACATGATGGGCGATTCGGTGTGTGTTGTGGTTGGCGCACTGTCGTGGGAGTCGCTGGTGAAGAGGTGTTGAAGATGTCGCGATAAAGCTGCCTGCACTCGCCCAAGCTAAGTTCGATGGTTGATGGATGACAAAGGTGGGGCACGGACGGTACGTGAGCTCCACCTTACAGACGGGCATCGGAATTTCGGCAGATCAGAAATTCCGAACTACATTAACGGTTTCACAACGACAACAGCCAGTTTCCGTTTTCTGAGTACTGTCACCGTTTCAGTCATGGACACTGCCGTCTGCGCCGCAAAGATATCTCGAAAATGAGCAATTCTCTGCTTCACATCACAAGCAATCAATAAGTCCGCAATTGTCCACGTCGCTTCATCTGGGTACTCTCTCACCTCGTAGGAGCTACCTCCGGTTTCCAGGGGACCAACTTGAACGCTAGCCAAAGTCAAACCCGCGCTGTCGGCGTCGTCCGGCGACGAGCCTCACCAATCTCCATCTGACTCCCGACTTTCCCTGTCCACACGTGCAGAACCAAGGTCTACCGTCCATCGAACCTGATCACGCGCAGCAGAGCCCGAGCTTCTCAAATTTCCCGACATTCATGGAATTCCTTCTCCAACTCGGGCACCAACGCAACCCCCAACTCAAATGGTCGTCCATCGTCGACGGCCGCCGTGGGCTGATGAACAGGGCAGACATGGATATGCCCAGAAGACAAAGGAACTGAGGGGTCGACGTGACACCCTTTGGCCGCTGCAGAATGCGACACTGAATGGGCAGAAAAAGTTGAGGGCACAGGGGATGAAATTGTTGGATATGGCATCCTTGGTCGTCCAGCCTCGACCCGAGGGTGCCCCACTGTCGATCTTGCTCGTTCCAAGGTTTGAGGACGGCTGGGGACCGAAAAGTTGGCAGCGTCGTTGACTCCGTCCCGCGAAAACAGGGGTCCATTGCATGCGCGTCTCAACACCGCTAGAGCAACGCGCAGGACGGCATCGTGAAAAAGCAAGACGATGGTACTCTGTTCCCGAATGGTCCGTGAAAAGGGGTCCTTGGACTAAGGTACGCCTCAACAGCCGGTTGGTCATGAATCACCACCCGTTGCATTGGGACGCTCGTATCACTCGCAAAGACCATAGTCTGCGGGTTCAAAACCGGAATCACCACGCAAGACCTATTGACCTTGCAGAGGTCGAGCGACACAGTTAAGCAGCCATACCGCTCTCCGGTCGGTGGACGTTTGCATCGTGGGATAAAGCGAGGACGACTGCAGGGCTCACCGAGCATCATCCCATCGCGTTTGACCGCTCACCCGCCATAAAGTGATCGTCGCTGCGCGATTCCAATAATTTCAGTCTCCTGCAGATGGATCCTGCAGCCACACAGTCTGGCGTTGGCCGAACGGTTCGACATCAGATGGGGAATCAAGGAATCCCATTGATCCCCAGCTCGCTCCTGGCTCCTTGTCAAACTTTAAAAGATATTGCGGGTCTACGGACCAAGTTCTCAGTCAGTCAGCCACGCCATTCCTCCTTTCAAGCGCCCTCTTTCACGCCCACCTCCAGCATTTCTGCCAAGAGGTCCCATTTTGTTGCCGCCTCGTCGCTTGAAGCCCTGGCAACCCCCCTCAAACCCCCACAGATGAACCTCAAGTGCCTCTCGAAATCCGTTTTAATCTCCCGCAGGCTCTCGAGGTAGCCCTTGCCCCCATTGAGGGTGCCCCTTTGGGCCCTGTCCCCGAGACCCTCCGTTCCGTCATCGTCACTGTCTTCGGTGTAAACGACCGGTTTTCGCCGGCGAGGGCTCGCTTTCATCGGCGAGGACATGAGCGACAAGCGGGACAGTTCCTGCGCCTCCTCCGCCTCCTCGGCGGCACTGGCGCTTTGCGCGTCTTCTAGTTTCGCAGCCAAATCCATTATGTCCAACGTAGCACCCCGTATGGGATCCAATTTTCTGCCGAGACACGCCGCGTCAACAACCTGCTTCACGAAGGCTGCATGGACTCTGATCATGGCATCGACGTCATACGCGTCTCGTAGATTCCGCCGCAGCTGTTCTGTGTAAGGTGCTAATACCAACGTGACAAGGTATGTCTGGATGCAGTTGCAGAACCACATGAGCTTTGAGCGGAGAGAATAGTACAGAGCCCTGTTGCCCCAGATCTCCCTGTGGGTTGCGAGTTCGTCTAGGATGCGGTTACGTTGCAGCAGACCGGCGGCACGTCGGATCTGCATTAGCAGAGTGAACACCGCCTGGTAATGGACTATCGTATCTGGGGTCACCACCAGCTGTACGGGCCAAGGCAATCGATATTGGAGAACGATCTCTGGCAATGCCTTTTGAACCTGGTCGCGAGCAGCGACGACGGACACTTTCTGACCTTCTTGGCGGACGTTGACGACAATACGAGTCGAATCAACGCGTGACATGAAGGCCTCCTGCGCCAGTCCGGTCAGGGAGTATCTATCATGCCAGTCAGGCCGAAGGGCGTCTAGCCTCGTAAAGATCCCTTTGCAAAATGTGTCTGCGGCAGATCCGTCGGCCATGAGATACAGATACTTCAAGGCCTCGATACCTGCCTCAAGCTTGCAGGAGTCGAACAAAGCCTGCTTCAACGTCTCGGATGTGGCGTGATACTTGCTTTGCATCCAAAGATTGAATGCGGATGTGAAGAGCTCAGGGAATGGCGCAAGTTCCAAGCCGGTTGGGCACACAGAGGCGAACGTGAGAGGTGGCTCTACTTCCGCCCACAAAGCCCGAACCGACTCGTACTTGCCGAGGTGTTTGAGCACGACAATGCTCTTGCCAGCTCGGAATATCTTGTCAACGCTAGGCTGAAGAAAGCTGGGAGCGTGAAGGACACCGTCTGATGTTCTCCTGAGTTTGAACTGTTCTTGCCAGACCTGCCGAAGTGGGACTTGAGTGGATGACTCCGATACAAAGAAGATTTTGTCTCCTGGAAGCAGCTGTCCCTCCGCCATCCATAGACGAATCGGCCGCAGATAAACTTGGAAACAGTTGAAGAATATTTGGCCTAGAAAGTCATACGTCGTGCTGCGACCGGACAACTGGGCGACGCCGATCTCGTCGTAAAGGAGCTCCAGGTAACGGAACGCGCCGCCGTTTGCCGGGTCGTAAAGCTGCCGAACGATTTCAGAGAGGGCTCTCAGGGGTTCAAGGTGAGGCCTGAGCTCTTCAAGAATGGCCGCCATGCTGACGACCGTATCTTCGCGCGGGACTGACAGACGCTGTTGAATACCAGATATTCTTGTGTCAAATGTTCGTAGGCTTGCGAGAACGTTGTCACGGAAGACCTGGAAAAGTGGTGCATTCTGAGCCTTCTTCGCAAACGTCCGTAACAGTGACATCTGGCGACCCGTTTCGGCGTATGCGTTTATCAATGCTTTGTAGGTATCCCATGTGATATTCGACATCTGGTAGGCAGGGTCGGGAGTTCCGTCCTTCTGGAAAAGCGTCGTAGGAAGGCCTTGCAACATAAATAGCACCTCTCTTGTCGTTTGGAACTCGGTGACAGGAACCTTGTGTTGCCGACCAGAGGGCGCCTTTTCAACTTTCTGTCTCCACGCTTGACTTTCTTGCACTTCTTTGAGGGCAGCATCATCCGCGGATGCGATTTCAAAGTCCTCTGGCCTCCTGCCGACTATGACATCGGCACCAAACAGCGACGTATCATCGGTCTCGCTTGCGGTATCTGATTTGGAGTCGATGTATTCGTCGGCCGATCCGTCGCTGTAGTCGATGGACTTCCATATATCGGGATCATCGTTCCAGCCATCCTCCTTGGCGATGTCCTCCCACCTGAGGGGCGGCTCAGCATCTCCATCTGGTTCCCGTAATACCTCTAGGTCGATCAATCGTGTTTTCTGTGTCGGTCGGTCGGCAAGCTCGAGAAGAAAGTGCAAAATATCTGGTGTCCATTTGGTGCGGTGCTCCTCCAGCGCATTTTTGCTTTCTCTAAACGCATCGGCCAAGCCTTCACGATGATGGACCCGGAATCGCTCCTCGAGCCCTACAAGCTGGTTTTCGACATCGAATTGGTTGGTTCGCAGGAAGTTGTTGTACCTCAATGTGCGCAGCGATGATTCGCGCAAGAGATTGAACTTCTGCCGGCCGATCTGCTTGCCACGGTATTAGCAGTGGACGGGCCGAGCTGCATTGCATTGCGTACAGCTTCAAGATGGGATGAACAGTCTCACACCTTGTCGGGCGTCGATGTGATGACCTCGACAAGCTCGTCCGTCAGAGCGGTGAGCTTGGCGAGAAAGGCCATGATCTGACTCCGTAGATAGACCGTCGACAGGTGTCGTCGGGGCTCAAATCATGGGAGCGCAAAGAAGCGCAAGCATGAATACAATTTGCTGGTGCTAGCGGGAGACGCGTTCAGTGTTGCGTTGCTCAACGCAGGACGCGCCGGCAGACGACACTGCAGTTCCATGCCCGGAAGGAGGGGGGCGGGGGTGTTGGGCCTCCGTATCGTTGCAGTTACAGGGATTGGATAACGAAAGCACCCGCCATAGGCCTCATGCTGGACGCTAATTGACAAATTTCATGGGGTGACATCAGCCTCAACCAGCCAGCGACCGGGACAATTGCTGCAGCGCCCCTTTTCGAAATTTACGCGTAAGAAATCTGGCCTAGCCAACACCGATCAACATTTCTCCCTTTAACTCCAACGACGACCCTCAAAACGACGGCACGAGCCGCGACCGAGAATTTCCCACCAAAACGGACGACACGACTCGGCCCTTCCACTAGCCCTCGACAATCGCGCGAACCTTCTGCTGACGACGGTCCACCGACCAAGAGACGCGGCAGACATAGCCTCAAACCCTGTGTCCACGAGTTCGATCGCGACTTTGCATTCCACATTACGCCCAACATGGCGGTTGCACGGCCAGTTCGAGCTCTGGCTCTAGCCGCCGTGATGCTCTGGTGCTTCTTCCTCTATCAGATCTTTGGCCCCGAGAGGCCGATAACGAAGCCTGTGCGCTACGATAACGGGCGAGACCCCAACCTAGATCGTGAGCTGCCTCTACTGCCCTTGGTTGCTCATTGGCGGCGCTAACCATTGTGACATCAAACAGCTACCGGCGAACCCTCGGGTGTACTAACGTATGCCTCCGACAAGTATGCCCCAGGCATTGCGGACTCTGCGCGCATCAACGCCACCCTGCTGGCGTTGGTCAGGAACGAGGAGCTGGACCAGATGATCGGGTCCATGGTGGACCTCGAGAGGACCTGGAACCACAAGTTCAACTACCCCTGGACCTTCTTCAACGAGGTCCCCTTCACGGATGAGTTCAAGAGGAGGACTCAGGCGGCCACCAAGGCCGAATGTAGATACGGTACGCTATTGCTGTTCGTCATGGTTCAGTGCTCGTTCTAACCGGCTTTTCGCAGAGCTCATTCCCAAGGAGCACTGGGAGATGCCGTCGTGGATCAACAAGGATCTCTACGAGGAGTCTGTCAAGATCCTCAAGGAGAACGACATTCAGTACGCCGACAAGGTCTCGTACCACTCCATGTGCCGCTGGAACAGTGGCATGTTCTACAGACATCCCGCTCTGCAGCACACCAAGTACTACTGGCGTGTTGAGCCCAAGGTTCACTTCTTCTGCGACGTTGACTACGATGTCTTCCGTTACATGCAAGACAACAACAAGACCTATGGTTTCACCATCAACTTGTATGACGCCCCCAAGTCCATCCCGACGTTGTGGCCCGAGACCGTCAAGTTCCTCGCGCAACATCCCGAGTACATCCACGACAACAACGCCATGGCGTGGCTTACCGACAAGGCTGGTCGTCCCGAAAACAACATCGACGCTAACGGCTACTCAACCTGCCACTTCTGGAGTAACTTTGAGATTGCAGACATCGACTTTTGGCGCAGCCAGGCTTACGAGGACTATTTCAACCACCTGGACCGTGCCGGAGGTTTCTTCTACGAGCGATGGGGAGATGCTCCTGTGCACAGCATTGCCCTGGGTCTTTTCGAGGACAAGTCCAAGATCCACTGGTAAGTGACGCAACGACATGTATGCGAGCGACCACAACTGACCCGCAATAGGTTCCGCGACATTGGGTACCAGCACATTCCCTTCTTTAACTGCCCCAACTCTCCCAAGTGCAAGGGCTGCGTCACCGGGCGGTTCACCGACGGCGAGGCTTGGCTGCACAAGGACGATTGCCGTCCGAACTGGTTCAAGTACGTCGGCATGGACTAATTGGCCCTCGCATGGGCATGCTTCCTGTTCTGTACTTTTTTGGTTGGCAACAATTGGGGATTTGCTAGGGAGCATCTGGGTACTGACGGTGTTGGGCGTCTGCGGAACATCCATACGTGTGTAGAGTACCACGGGGTCAATGACGGACATGACCTTGCATGATTTTGAGACATTTTGCTAGAAATTGGGGCTTCTAAATGAAAAGCCCTGTACAAAGAGCATCTCATTTCCATGATCTATGACTTTATAACGAACCAAAAACAGTCGCGACGCCAGACGTGCCGCCGACACAGAACTGGTCTCCCCATCCGTCATCTCGCCAGGCCATGCAACTAATGACATTGCTCCTCTCCTTCTCCCTTCCGTCCTTCCCAAGCACTTTCTTCTTGGGTTCATAGCCTTCGGGCCATGGGACCTTGACTGTCGCGACAAGCTTGCCGGTCAACAAATCCCAGGCCCAAATCTTGCCCTCCCCGTTTAATCCTGCCGGCCCAGTACCGGCAGTCAACTCGTCTCCAGCAATCACATACTTCTCCTTCCCTCCGAGGATACTCTGCACACGCAGCTCTTCGTTCTTCCATCCAGCATCCTCATAAGTCTTCAAGCAGCCACCGCTGTCCCGATCCATCAGCCGGATCTTGCTATCGAGCGAGCCCACCAGCATCGCCTTGCCATCGCGCGTGAGCTTCAAACTCGTGACACTCGCCCCCATAGTATCAGTAATGCACTTCCCCATCCTCACGTCGTAGCTCCTAACCCGCCCGTCAACGCTGCCCGCGACAATCTCTGCGTCTCTGACCACAAGCGCCGTGACGGAGTCCTTGGCCTCGTCCATCACCTGCACCGGCTTCGCAGAGTTGGATTTGCAGTCCCAGACCCGCACGCTGGTGTCGAAGCCCGCCGAGATGACAAGCGAGTCCCCGTCCCCGCCGAACGCGACGCAGTTGATGCGCGAGGAGTGGCCGTGGACGTTGCCGCCGAAGCGGCGCAGGGTCGTGGCGGATGCGACGTCCCACAGGAAGACGGCGCGGTCGCCGCCGCAGGAGGCGAAGCGCTCGTTGTCCGCCGCGACAGCTAGGTCAAGTACTTCGTAGCCATGTGAGGCATAGCTCTGGATCATGCGGCCCTCGGGCACGCGAGGAGTGGTTCTGGTGGTGAGGTTGGAGGTGTAGCGGGGGTTGGCATCCTGGGTTGCTGGGTTGTACAGGCGGATGGTGCGGTCTGCGGAGCCGGTGAGGATGTAGGTGCCGGGAGACGAAGAGTATGTAACAGCATGAACGGGGCCTTGATTATTTCAGTCAGTAACTTGGTGACTTGAAAAATATGAGTGCGAAGGGGTTCGCATCTCAAAGTCGTGTCCCGAGTTCGCGACTCACCATTCGAGCCCAGCAAGTGGGCGACAGGTTTGTCAGGAAATGACATCTTTAGCGGTCGGCAATACGCCCATTACGAGGGGGAAATAACTCCTGGCCAGCGATCTTTCATGACTTGAAGAAATGAAAGTCTTTTTGCAGTTTTTTCTGACGCGCGCCCTTTCATGTAAGTTGTCAATGGTCATGCTCGTTTGAAGAGGTAGATAGAGTGACCCTCTGGATCCTCGCTTTAGTGCATAAATGTACACGGTGAGATTGACTCTGTGAGACTCTACATCACCCCCACCAAAGTCAACGCGAGAAATTGATGAACAAGAGATTGAAGTGAGTGACGTGAGAGATGGAAATCTAAGCATCTGATATCTGCGAATCTTCGTGCAAGAGAAAACCTCAGTGGGCGAAAATTTTGGCGGGCACATTGCGCAAGCTCTGTAAGACAAATTTGCACTGGATTTTTCAACAATGGCCGGTTGGCCCAATGGCAAGGCGTCTGACTACGATTTCATCGTGCAATCAGGAGATTCTGGGTTCGACCCCCAGGCTGGTCAACTTTTTGCTTCTTTACTTAATCTTCCTCTGTGAATAACAACTGCGTGCGTGTTGATTCTTTTCTAACAACGTTTTAGTAAGAATGTCTGTGTTTCTTGTGCTTGAGCGACTATTTCCCCTTGAGGCGCATTGGCACCCTGATTTAGTGATTATCATCGTCGTTATGTCTGACACTGTCCTCGTGCCTTATACCTAACGTCGTTCCTGATGAAAGTAAACCGAAGTTCCCGATTCATTATGAATAGACAGTGAATAAAGTGGCATAGACTTAGGATAATCAGCCGGCATCTTTGTGGGTGGTTCTGCTGTTACTTCCCGCAGAGGAGAAAGTGCATGATTGACTTGCGCCGCGATGCCTCGTAGTGGATGGCGGAAGTTCTTTGACAACCTTTCCCACGATGGTCAGAATCCGTAAACTTTGACGTGGTTTCAAGATCTTGCAGTGCCTCTGCGAGTCGAGACACGGCAAGCGAGACAGCTTCTGGATTGCCTGTGTATACGAGCCTGAAGCATCCTGGCACTGGTGACATAGACATCTTCATACAGGTCAGCGGTTTTCATCTCACGCAACAGGACAACTCACTTCTCCGGGGCTGAGAAAGACGCCAGCCTCATGCAGCAGGTGCCGACAAAGCTTCATCTCTCGACTACTGTGGTCGTCGCCTGCGAAATAGTCGAGCCATCTCGTCAACTTAACAAAGATGAAGACCCCACTATCGGCCTCCCAGAACGGAATTCTGTACTTGTCGAGGAGTTTGGTAGTGAAGTCGTACTGCTTCCCGAGCCTTTCGCGATAGACGGACACATACCGGTCGACTGCCTCCTCGTTCTGCAGAAAGTGCATGAAAAAAGCGCCCGAAAAGCTCGTCACCCACGTGAAAAGTACCAGCCGTCTTACAGAACGCCAAAGGAGTTCGTTACGGGTGACTAGAAACCCGAGTCTTAGCCCGCCGCAGCCAAAGTCCTTGCTCGCGCCGTACATGCAGTGGATGTTTTCCGTAAACACTCCATTTTCGGGGTCCTCCGGGATGCTAAGCACAGATGTGAAGGGCGTAGCTGCCCGGTCATACGGAGTGAAGGTAGACATAGCGTAGATCTCGTCGGATAATAGGTGCATCTTC